CCTGGAGTAAGATCGAGTAAATTTTGGAACACAGCCTTGGTGTCCATCACAGGTGTCAAGCAGAACATCGGTATTTATAAGGGCTGACGTTGAAGAAACCAAGATGTGGTTACAGGCAAAGGCAGATTTAGGAATTGGGGAGGGGGGGGGGACGCGACCGGCCCCCTCCACCCCTTCAGTTCCCCAAGGTCAACTTTTTAAAAATAAAACCATTGATATAAACCAGCCCAAAGTTTAGTTTTTAGCGACATGGCAAATATGGGTCAACAAAATAGAACTGGGCAACATTTCACGTTTCGACCGTAGTGTCATATCTCAGCAGACGCCCTCCCCCCCCCCCACCCCCCCCCTCCCGCCAGCCGAATGCCTAACGCCCCTCCCAGGCCTGACCCATAAATCCGCCCGTGGTCGCAGGTTCAGGTGCGTGTTCCCTTCAGGGAACAGGCGCCTGCACCGGATACTCGACTGCGTTAGGAGTAAACAATGAATAAGCCTCTATATTTCTATGTGTGCCCATGTTAGCATTGCGCGCAGCTCCCACACAATGGCATGGGGTGTGAACGCCATCAGTATGTCTTTATTTTATCTTTGGCGGATTTTCTCGAACTTCATAGTAGAATCTTGGAATCCTGTGTAGAATGTTGTTGACTATACAGGCTGTGTAAACAAAGTTGTGACTGGCAACATGGGACAGTAGCTCTTCCGTTGCCGACGCAAGATGCCTGGTACTTGTGTGTTTCTTTATTGGCAAAGGCACACCTAATTAAATATTAATTTTGTACGTCAATTCTGCCCTCTTTTTTGTAAGATTATTAATCTTACTTCTCACGAAGCTTGGTTTTTTTCTTGTTAAACGAAAGCTTCGATTAAGGGTTTTGGGTTCGAACCGGTTGGGGGTTATTTTTCGGTGTGTATCGGTATTTACCAAAACCACCTAACCCGAATCCTATCAAATTGATGCTGTTTCGGTAAGCCATACACTCCAGGTTGGCATTTTTCGAGATCGCTGGGATCTTTCCACGGTAAAAAAATGTTGACATTAAGGTACTTCATTCTCACCCTTGTCAGTCTCGAATCGCAGACGCTGACCTTTTTTTATAAATAAACTCTCCGCAGAATATCTGCTTCCACCAAGGAAAGGTCAAAATAAGCGGTAATTGCACTGGAGAGCCGGTAGTTTACTGTGAAATTTGTTTTTCCGTACTTTACGAGAAGTTCATGTGCTGCTGGCAGTCTGTGACATTTTAGAAACATTTCCGTTGCGGAAATTCTGGTTTGATAAAATCTAGTTCCTCACGCGTAGCTTTTCGTCAGTCCATAACACACGAACCTTATTTAGACTACGTTAATTACAAGATAATATTATTCTCCCATATGCAGGATTTACAAATGAATGCTAAAATAACCAATACTCTCACGCATTAAAAAATCAGCAGTACTTTCCGGGCCCTGTTATACGTCTTTTTGGGGTGTACTTCAAGTGACCATTGAGCACTTTCCTCGCTGCACAAGGTTTGACGTGAAGCCACTCCATTCATGTAGGAAAGTGTTCACTTTCCCGCCAGGGTCACAATATGCAGAGTTTGTATATCTCTAAGACCCTTTATATATCTCTAATCTGCTGCCGCTTGGCTCAGACATGTTAGAAGTAGGGACGCCACGAACCACCCTAGGTTCGAATTCGAAAGGTTTCGATATTTTCGAACCGAACTGATGTTCGATTCGAAAAATTTCGATATTTTCGACCGTTGGGAGGTTCGAATTAAAAAAAAATTCGCAACTTTCCGATTTCGTGGGGTTTCGAAATCGAAAAGTTGGAAGCTTTCACGGTTTCTAAAAGTTCGGGTCGATTATTTCCAACATTTGTTTACTTGAGGTTCGATAAATTCGAAGATTTCGAACTTTTTAAATTTGAAATTTGAGAGATCAGAATGTTTCGAATTTCTTTGGATCTAAAATTCGAAAAATCGGACGTTTCGAATTTTTAAAGACGTAAAGTTCGGTAAATTCGAAGATTTCGAATTTCTTTCTACATAAAGTTCGAAAAGGTCGAAGGTTTCGATTCTCTTTTAAGACTAAATCCGAAAAAAAAAACAAAAAAACTTCGATGGTTTCTGATTTGTTTGAACTCCAAGTGCGCAAAGTTCGAAGTCCGGTTTTCATGTTCCGCCACCAGTTTCAGTTTCAAATAACGTTTTCACGCCTCACTGGTTTTCACAAAATCAGGTTTAGAAAAGTTCGGGTGTGATATTTAGACTGCACGAAGTTGGTCAGGCAATTAAATGGGACGACGAGTGCCCCGGATGTACTCGAATATTTGCCAGTGCAGTGACGTGTAACAATAGATCAGTAATTGTGACCGCCAGCCCGGGGTGGTCATTAACGTGCATTACGAAGTAGGTATCCTACGAACGCACTGTTTAACGATACTCATTTAGTTCGAAACGGCCAGGGGCAGGCAGGTGGTTGAGGTTCAGAAAAACCTTGAAGTGATCTGGCAAACTGCCCCCCCCCCCCCCCCTACCCCCTTGCACGCTGGTAGTAATCCGATTGAACGCCGCCCGAGTGACGCTGGCATATAGTAAGTTTAGTTTGTACATGATGAAAAATCCTGAGACTGGGAATGAAATTTGAAAGAAAAAGTGTAAGAAGACAGAAAAAAAGGGACAGGACAACGTCTCAAACTCAACTCAGCTGAAAACTCGGCTCAGGACTACGTCTCAAACTCAACTCAGCTGAGTTTGAGACGTTGTCCTGTCCCCTTTTCTCTTTCTTCTTACACTATTTCTTGCAAATTTCATTCCCAGTCTCGGGATTTTGCGTCATGATCAACATACACCAGCTCGCCTGCACCTTGACAATTTTTTTGTTTGTAATTGCTTTGGAGGTTTATTTTCTGGGGCGGAAGAAACGCCGAGCAAAAAGCACAGAAGCTGACGCAACTTGAGGTCGAGGAGCGTTCTACCATACCAGTGGCGTCGGAAGAGGAAAAACGGGGGGGGGGGGGGCTCAAGTCTTCCCCCCCCCTCCCAGATATTTCGGACTGTTAAGGAAAACAATACGGGGGAAGAGGGCGTGGTCGAGCTTATTTTAATCTTATATTATTTATGCATATGTATAGCTACTGTCGCTCTTCGGTGCATAAAAGATCGCGTAGATGGTCATCCGCTTCTCATATGCAGCGGAGCGCTGATGTAACGCTGCTCACGTGCCGTCAGGTACTTATCGTATGCCATGAGCAAACGTTTTGACGGTGCGATACAAAGCTGAAGAACGCTCCCGTCGGCACGTGCTTAGCACGAGGTCAGCGCTATGCTTGTAGTGCTTCGCTGCATGTGTGAACAGGCCTTTAGAAACTCGTTGTCAGGAGGCGCTACTCGTCACATGCTCGGTGGCTCGAAAGTTCAAAGCTATGTCTTTTCGACCTAAATAACTGTGCTATTGGTAAAAAATAATCAATAAGTAAACATAAATATAATTGCAAAAATGAAAAGCTGGAGAAAAAAAAAAGAAAAAAAAAACTCGCAAGAACTCGTTGGAAGTGTTGTATTCTTGCGTATTCAGAGGCCCAGAACTATGAAACAAGTTTCGCCTACCAAAATGTGTACAGGCCAAAAGAAACACGTCCCACTGAGAACGTAAAATGAGAGAATTTTTTTTTTATGACGCGCAGATCTTGACCAGTTTTAGAAATCTTCACCCATAAGTTAATTTATTTATCAACGTGAAAAAAACGATAAATACATTTTTTTGTATTCTGCAGATGGTAATGATATGTACTGTCTCCGGTGGAATGGGGGGAAAAAGAATACCAAGTTTAGGGCATAATTGTCCGTAGGTACATGTTTGATATTTATTCGAAACACGGTCTTGAATAACAATAATCATATATTAAGACGACAGTCACCTAGGCTATGTATAGATCATTCTTAAAACGTTTAACATCTCTACCATAAATAGCTTCGGCTATAGCGCGCTTCAAATATGGCACAAACGACAATTGTCAAAAACCCGTCGTCCTTCCTCGCTCCTTCGGGAATCTATTTCTTTAAAACCAAGCATGCCAGATGATTGAAATAAACGCCGGTCTTTCGAAGTTCGACGAACTTCGAATTTTTACCCTAAAAATTCGAAGTTCGTCGAACTTTTGACTTTTCAGGACATTAATAAGTTCGAAAATTATCGAATTTCTTAGCGTAGGAAGTTCGAAAGTTCTAACGGCTTGGAACTTTTAAGTGCAAGAAGTTAGAAAGTTCGAAAATCATCGCATTTCTATTCTATCAAGTTCGAAAGTTCGACAAGCATCGAATTTTGCAGCGTAATAAGTTCGATAATTTCAAAAGCGTCGAACTTCTTAGTTTAATAAGTTCGAAAATTCGACTTCCGTCGAATTTCTCGATATGGAAGGGTCGAAAATTCGAAATCTTTCGAAATCTTTCGAACCGCGTGATTCGATCATCGAAACTTTGATTCGAAAAAAGTTCGCGGCATCCCTATTTAGAAGAGCTTGGAACACTCGGAAATGATCTGAATGAAATGCATTTTTGACCCTTAACGTTATTCACCTGAGCAAAAAAACTATGCAGTGCTTAGACATTTCCTCGTCCAGATGGTTGCGCATAAAATCCTTGACACATTTCAGGCAAAGATCTCTCTCGCTTTTTTTTCTGTCACATTTGGAGTGATTATGTAACCCTTGGCACACTGCATAAATTTCGGCATAAACAACTCTATGCTTACACGAAAGGTCACCCTGCTGCGGAAGTCGTAACGCTGACGTCACGATCTTCACGATGGCGTATCATAAAAGGTTATTCGTTTTATTTTCGGACAACCCCTGTAATATGTCTGCTTCAAAAAGTGAAGGTCAAGAAACTGAAATTGTAAGGGCATGAAGAATATATTTAACGGCGGCGTTAGTATCTTTTCGTTATTAGGCAGAACTGTGTTTGCCAGTAGTATACTCTCAGAAAGGTTTTTCGGTTTTCAGCCTCATAAAAATGAGTTTGGTGAAAGTGTTTTTTCTATGCATAGCGTTGTTTGTCAGTGTACATTCCACCAAACCTTTTCCCGATGTTCCGTCTGAGTACGTAACTTCTGACTGCAGAGACAAAGCGACAAAATTTCAAATATCAAAAGGAATGAGCCTTCCACTGGCGTACGACAGCGCACAATTTTGCATGTATCAAAATTTACAGGTGAGTGCTTGGAGATTGTTATAGAATTCAAATTTTATTCTAGCCCACGAATTACACTTCTATATTAAGTAAGGAAGCATCACTTCTCCCGCTTACAAAAAGCTTGGACATTTCCCAGCATCTACATCTAAGTAACACGCGCCTTTTTGCAGCCATTTGTACGCGGGGATAGATTTTAACGCGAGTAGGGGAGTTTAGAGCTTTATAAGTCAGCTACAGTGCAAGCCACACACAGCCATCGGACTGCCCTATCTTTACATACTATATATATATATATATATATATATGAAAAACTAACAGAGCTGCCTTGCATTTAGATGACTACGCCTCTGTTGTCATGTGAAATGTACAGTGTACAAATAAAAAGGTTCCCAGCATTAATACTTTTCCATCCTTGAGCAGAAATTTGGCTTTGAATGCCAGTCGGAGATAGTTAGACTCGTTTTAGAGTGCAGCTCTTAGGCTCCCGTTTTAAGCTTGAGCGGCGTCGCCGTCGGCGTCGGCGTCGGCGTAACCGCACGCGTTGCATTATGGAAATGATGCAACCGGGTGTAACCGCGCGTTGCAATATGGGAATATTTCCCTGCTAAACTTATCGGAAAATGTTGCGAAATAATTTCCCCGTTATACTTAGCAGGAAAATTTTCCGCTACATTTAGCGGGAAAACGTTCCGTTAAATTTAGCAGAAAACTTTTCCCGCTAAATTTAGCGGATAAATTTTTCCGCTTAATTTAGCGGAAAAAGTCCCCGCTATAATTGGCGGAAAAAGTTCCCCGCTAAATTCAGTGGACAATTTTCCCGCTAAATTTAATGAAAAATTCTCCCGTAAATTTAGCGGAAAACTTTCCCCGTCAAATTTAGCGGAAAAATGTTCCTTCTAAACTTAGCAGAGAAAGTGTCCCGCTAAATGTAGCGAAAAAAATTTCTGCTAAATTTAACGGAAAATAATCGATGCTAAATTTAGCAGAAAACATTCCCCGCTAAATGTAGCGAAAAAAATTTCTGCTAAATTTAACGGAAAATAATCGATGCTAAATTTAGCAGAAAACATTCCCCGCTAAATTTAACAGAAAAATTTCCCCGCTGAATTTAGCGGAAAAACATTAAATTTAGCGGGAAATTTTAGCGAAAGTTTCCCGCTAAATGGAAGGGGACCAGGAGAGAGGAGGGGAGGGTACGGAGGGGGAGGAGGGGCATGCGCTCTCCTCCATACCCTCACTTCCTCCTCTTCAAGAGCTGTGCTCTTATTCGACATTACAGAGAATTGTAAGAGCCTTCTTTTTTTTTTGTTTTTTAGTCCCAAGAAAATGATTGGCTGGGTTATTTTTCATGCATAGCGCTATTTATACGCTCATATCAGACCAACTCTATTCCCAATGTTTCGTCTAGACCACGATTGAAAGGCCTTTATTAAACAGATGCTTAAGCAATATTTGGATTTTACAAAATAAGGCCGCAGAAGCGTTGAACGGGACGCTTTGAACTCCAAACCATCACGTGTACATCGATATCTCAAGCATAGGGCGGCATTTTTGGAAAAGAAGGGCGCAATCAAGCGAGGAATGTGACGGCACAATTTTCCTGGAATAGTTGAGATAAGCGGAAACAGTCTCGCTTCTGCTTTCTTTGTCGAGGAGACGGAATGAGAATCGCGACGTGACACGTCTCGTCGACCTCGCCTAACACCTCCGATACTCATTTTCACCTAAAGAATAAAAGGAAGTTTTGCGCCTTGTTCATACACCGCGCAAAGTAGTTCTTAGATGATTTGGTTGTTTGAGAAAAAAGAGATGGTCTGGCATTTGAAACCTGTATGACTTTATAAGGTATCAACTGCCTAATCTACAATGCACCTACATATATCTTAATTCTCTAGATGAAGGGTAAAATTAGTATTGCTTTGCGAAGACCCGAACTTTTTTTACTACGGTTCTTGATGTGGAAAAGAGTATAGACAAGAAAGCCTAAGTGCTGAATTTTCTTGCATCACTAAAGAAGGCCACCGTAGAACAGATATTACACACGACAACAGCATTTGGGTTCAGTTAGGAGTCGTGTTCATTCTGACTGGAAACGACTTCTAGCCCAACACTGACGCCGCAGTCGTGTTTAATGTCTGGCCTACGCTGTCCTTTTTCGTTGACAATGGAAAATTCAGCACTTAGGCTTCGTTATGAATGAGGTGTTGCCTCGTCGGACGTGTTCAATCACACACTTTTTAAAAAAACTACGGGCGTCCGTTAGAGATATTGCTGTACGAGTGATGTTTTACGGTTTTACAGCGTCCCGTCAATCGCTCCAGCGCTGTTTTGTCAGCTCCACATTTTGGTTCAAAATCCCTTTAAAGAAATTAGAGTAAAGACGCAGGCGAGCTAGTGACGCATCATAGTAGAAAAAACCCGGAGACAAGGAGCTAACAAGCACACGAACGACACCATCTCAGAACCCGCATCCGGGGAATCATCAACACTAGACCCGCAAAAACGGTGGTGTCTCATCGTCCAAAACAAACCTTAGCTCCCAATAACTGTCTGGTACAATTTCGCGATAAAAAAAAGATCAAAGAAGAGAATTAGAAGAAATCATCCCGGTAGACAAAGAAAAAAAACAAAAACTAGAGAGACAAGAACGTCCCTGTCTGTTCATCCAAAGTCAAAGAGGGCCTACTAATACAATTTCCGCCGCTCGTAATCCTAATTGTCTCCTTAATAGCCCTCTTGAATGGATATTTTTTGTTTCTAACGACAATCGACTCAGCCCAGTCTCGGTAACGATTATCGCACTTACTGAGATGGTTTGCAACTTCAGAAGTGACTGAAGGGGAGTTAGCCACTCTTTTATGTTCTAAAAGCTGGTCGTTAAGGCAGCGGCTTGTTTGACCTACGTACGAGAACCCACATGCCAAAGGAATTTTATTTACTACTGTCATCTCAGAATTATTTGCCGGATGTCTATGATTTTTTCGGCAACCATGTTTGTCCTCCGAAAAAGGAGTGAGCTTGCTTGACTTAAAATCATTTTTGAAAACGACGTTTACACCATGGCTCTCTGCCAAGGCCTTGAGGTTGTGAGAAAAGAGGTGGAAGAAAGGCAAGCACACCCACGTTTAAGTTTTCTTGCGGGGAACCGTAACGGAACCGAAATTAAAGAGAACACTCCTCAACACTCTCAACTGGAGAGACGAGCTAGAACCTGAAGCAACCAGTCCTGACATTTGAAAAGTAAAACTCTCATGAACATAGCGAAAATAAGGCTTGCTTAAAGCAATTTTGAGGAGAGAGGATACTACAGCTCTTTTCACTACTTTCGGGTCGCAACTTTTTCACTTCTGACTGTGTTCAGTTTTTAGATTTAAAAATTTTTCAATCCCAAGGATTGTGCTGGAGCTACGGCAAAGCTGCCCAGAAACCGGTCCTGCCATTTCAAAGTTGACACCCGAAAGCAGTGAAAAGTGCAGTAGTATCCTCTCTTCTCAAATATGCTTTAAGCAAGTCTTTATGCAACAAAAATATTAATGATAATAATAATATTTTATTTGTACACGGATTTAACAAGGCAGATACACGGATCTGTCAAAGCTAGTAGAGGCTTGTGGGACAGCACCCTACAGTTCATGCTGAAAGAGTCCCCACAAACAAGAAGTTCACAACTCAAACTCAACTACAGATACAGATGTAGGTGATGATGGTGATTCCAACATATGCACACAGAAATATGCAGTCACAACTTCTCCCTAATACCTTGAAGTGATTGTTTCAATTTCTTAAATCGTCCACAACATAGATGTCATCTGGTAAATTGTTGAAAATAAATGGAACGTAAAAATTTCGCACTCTTTTTCCATACTTTGTTTCTACGAAAGGCACTTCAAACCGCTTAAATACGTCGAAGAGGTCTACATAGGACACGAGGTATCTTAAAGTATCGCTCCAGAAGTATTTAAAACAACTTGTGTACAAGTAAAGGATTAAAGAAAGGAAAACCCAAGCATGTTAGCATTTCTTCCTCAGTTTGTGACACTGCACCGTACATTATGCGTTTAAATATTCCTTTCAAAACTGAGTTAATCTTTTTGCCCCATAGTCCGTGGCTGTGACCAAAAATAGTTATCTCGTGGCGTAATACACTGTATGCTAAAGCGTGAGTTATTGTCCTTTTCGTTGAAATGGGTATTAGAGATTTGGTATTATACAGCAAACAGGATACTTTTGGGAACGGTTTACAAAGCTGTGATAAATAGGCCTTCCGCGACAAGTCACTCTCATCGTATTCCTACAATTGTATTCCTCCATTTCTATATTATCATCGTAGTGTAGTTATTGATTATATTGATCAATTATATCATCGTAGTGTAGTTATTGATTATATTGATCAATAATATCATCGTAGTGTAGTTATTGAAACTATGTGGATGTTTTTTTTTATCATATTTTATTGCATTAGAGTGTAGATACTGCATGGTGAGCTTGATACTGTTTGTGTGGGGGGGGACATTGTGATTATGACAAGTAGGGTGCTGTCCCATAAGCCTTTACTGGCTTTGACAGGCCCGTACCTCGACCTGAAGAATTATGTGCTCAAATAAAACTATTATTATTTCTATCAATTTTGTTATTATTATCAGAGCTATGGAAAGCCAATATTGACCGTATTTGAGGGGAATATTGAAACGCGTGGCATATAATATAAATTTTCCTCCTGAAGGAGATTTAGTCGACACACTAGCGTTGCCAAACTTTAGCTCTCTTTTTGTGCAGAGTTTGGTGCTCCGCCATTATTGGTCATGATTTCAAGCGCCCCTTTGTTTGCTCTGGGAATCTTCGTCAGTCGCCTTGTTTTTCAATCTCCCAATGTTTGGCCCGTCATGGAATGAGAGTTCGCTCCTACTACGTGCCATCCATCTTTAACAAACTTTCAGGTTGACTTTTCAGGGCTAATAAAAACAGACAATCAAAGAAAATTTTGACTAACGGGAAACTTAATTAGCATTGTACCATTGTTTTTACGTTACTTTTCTTGATGTCACGGGTTTTGTCTGACAAGCCTCTATTGGTGTAGGACGGACCCGTTTCTGTTACGTGCTTATCTTCATAGTGAAATAAATTATTATTATTATTATTGATATTATTTCAATGACTTGGAGTTTGATAAATCAATTACGAGGCACGGGTGTAAAGAGATCGATAGATTCCTCCCTAGAGAAAGTGTTTGGTAACAATACGACAAAACAAGTAGAGGATTTCAATAAGTTTTTCGCTACATTTTCTGGAGTAGCTCGGGCTGGATACTATGTTCACAGCAGATTTTCTTGATTCAAATGTTTCCTCGGCATTCCTTCCCGAAATGTCTGAACTTGATCTACGCACTTTGCTTTTCAGTTTCAAAACTAACAAGGCGCCCGGTATCGGTGGTGTCAGTGCAAATGATCTGCGCCGAAATTATGATTCTATAAAACTTGTGCTCCTTCACATGTTAAATGGTTTCATTTCCTCCGGGATGATCCCGGTTGATTTGAAAAGAGCGCTAGTGAAGCCCGCATTTAAGGGGGGAGAGCCTAAAAAGCTTGACAATTATCGACCAATTTCCATTTTGCCCTGTATTGTTCAAATCTTAGAAAAACATATTTTTCAAACTATGACGGCCTTTCTTGATCACTTTAATATTCTGTCGCCCAGTCAATATGGGTTTGTCAACGAACGTGGGACACAGCCACTTTTGGAAGATTTTGCAGATGAATTACATCTAGCCTTCGAGAGGCATCAGATTGCTTGCGCACTTTTTATTGATATAGCAAAGGGGTTCGATTCAGTGAGTCACGATATTTTACTAACAAAATTGCAAAACATTGGATTCCGCGGCCCATTCCTTTCTCTTCTCCGGAACTTTTTAACTGAGAGGACACGGCTAGTTTCTATAGGTAATAGTCGAAGCTCCCGAGTTACTTTAAAGGCTGGGGTTCCCCAAGGTTCTGTTTTGTCACCTCTTCTTTTTAACATTTTTGTAAACGATATGTCTAACTCACTTTCAACATGTAAATTGTTCCAATATGTGGATGACACAGTGTTGCTTTCAAAACATGTTGATTATCCTGTAGCAATCGCATTACTCCAAGAGGACACTTCTCAACTTAATGACTGGTTTAAGACAAATTGTCTTACGATAAATGCATCTAAAACTCAGCTAGTCTGCTTTCGTAATCCTTTTAAGATGTTAACGCCCAATCATCCTATATATATGCATACCTCTCTTTGTACATCTTGTAACTGTTGTCCCATATCTTATGTAGATCAAGTTAAATATTTAGGAATTCAATTCGAAAGTGATTTGTCGTGGAATTCTCATCTGTCAAAACTTTGTAAACGACTGAGAAATGTATCTTGTTTACTGTACAATACCAGATTTTTAATAGCTTATTCAACGAAAAAGACAATAGGTCACGCTTTGGCATACAGTGTTTTGCGTTACGGAATAACTATTTTTGGTCACAGCCCAGGACGACGGGGTCAAAAAATAGACTCAGTCTTAAAAGGAATATTTAAAAGCATTGTTTATGGTTCCATATTGCAAACTGAAGAAGAGATCATAGCAGTCTTGGGCTTGCCATTGTTCCACTCCTTATTGGTTCAGACCGTTGTATTCAAACACTTTTGGTGTGATAATTTCAGGGTGCCTCATGTCGTATCTAGATCACTTCGACATACCGAGCGCTATGAAATGCCTCTTGTAGTGACAAAATACGGAAAAAGAATTCGGAGTTTTTATGTTCCCTATATATTTAATACCCTACCGGACGATGTTTACACTGTGGACTCACTAAACAAACTGAAGCAAATGCTCCGATCTAAAAGTGCAAGTTTTTAACTGTGCTGTGTATGTGCATGTATTTGTGCGATCATCATCGTTTATATTGTGATGTATGTTGAGCTTGGAAGCTTACGTGTGTGGGGACGCTTTTTTATCACAAACTGTAGGGTCTTGTCCAACAAGCCTTTTGTCTGGCTTTGACAGACCCGCCTCACTATGAAGTGAACTACACGCGTAAATAAACATTATTATTATTATTATTATAATTAGACACGTGTGAATTTATTGTGTGAAATTTGTCCTTTTTATCCTATTTATTTTGTTATTTGTGGGAACGCATCCAAACTGTATTTGCCTGACTCAGCAAGAAACATCTATGTCTTCAAACCGATATATCGTGTATATTTTTGCATTTTTGCAATATTTTGTGTGTGGATCTGTGTGCTAGTTAGTGTTCTTTTTATGACTCATCTTCAAGCTACATAAAAACTCGACTAAAACACTAACTGTGACTTTCCGCCCATTTTGTGATGAACCATTGAAGTGTGTGTGTGCGTTTTCCTCTGTGCACGTGATGTGAGTCCGTGCGAATATTCGGTCTGCCATACCAAATGCCGGATCTTGTTCCACAAGCCCCTGCTGCTTTGACGAGACCCAACACTCAAGTGTATATATTTGCAATATTGATAAAAAATGTATTATTACTATTTGTTGTTTATTATATATTACAAAATATTATTTCCCGTATCTGTGCGAAGAATGATTGCCCATTCGCTTGCAGCGTCCCTCGCTACTCCATCACCGTGTTCGGCAATTCTTTTGACCGTTGGAAAACCAAAGTGGACTGAATACTGAAAGCTGACGTGAAAAGTGTTTTTTTATAATCTTGAAATACCTGACCACTCCAATATTTTCGATGATTTGCAACTACCTGACTTCCAAAACTTCTATGCCCATTCGGTAATATTGGGACACTTTCGTAATTCTAATTTTAACATCTCAAGCCCACCCTCACGTGATCTTCGATATACACACCCTTTTCGCATACGTTCTTCTCGCGCTCGTTGTGGCAAAAGTACTCGTGCGTTCTATGTACCACATACTTTGTCTCACTTGCCGCCTGAACTTCTAAGTCAAATATCGATGGGCAAAGTAAAAAAAAAATACTTATAGGTATTCTGTTTTCATAAGGAACTATTGGTTGCGGGCTCTATACTTTTTATTTTTATTGTAGACTCATTATGCTTAGTAATGTTGTCAGTCTTGAACGCTTGCCTTTCTAGAATATTGTTTGGTATTCTTCTCTTAGTAGGGCACGTTATTTTTAACAGAAGACTCCTTTCTTGAAATTAGTTCTAATCGCATAAAATTAAGTTTTGCGGCTTTTCATTCTACTTTGACATTGCTCCTGATTTCTGTTTCAGTGTGTGCATAGTATTCTGTCGCGTAAAATATTCACGTTTTAAATATAATGACTATCATTAATAAAATCATGTTTACATTTCTTCTTTTCTTAGGGCGCAGCTCTTAGGCGCCCGTTTCCGGGTTCGGCGGCATCGCTGTTGGCGTAACCGCGCTAAATTTAGCGGGAAAATCGATGCCACGTGACCTCAACACCAATTCGATTCCCCGCTAAATTTAGTGTAGAAAATGACTTCACATGACTTGGTGTCACGTCACCTATGAACAAGTTCAGTTGCTCCGCTAGATTTAGTGGGAAAATTGACGTCACGTGAGCTCAACAGCAATTCGATTTCCCGCTAAATTGAGCGGGGCATTGAATTGCTGTTGAGGTCACATGGCGTCAAATTTTCAGCTAAATTTAGCGGGAAAACTGAATTTCTTCATAGGCGACGTGACACCAAGTCATGTGACGTCATTTTCCAAGAAAATCGGTGAATGTGCGGTACTCCTGCTGACTGATTGACCGTGTATTTATCTGCATTAATGTTTGTCTTCACTTTTTTGTGCTATTGCTTTCGTGTCGCTTTTTATGTCTTTTTACTCCTTGACTTCGCTCCCTTGCTTATATTCTTTGTCGCAGTGTTTCCCTCGTGCTTAAAAAACACAACTGCCTGTTCTTGGCCACGTAATAAACATTATTCATTTTTGTTGGCATTTGTGATTTTCTGTTCGACTTCACGAGCAGCATGCTCATCAAGCTGGTGTTCATCATACAAGCCATAGATGGCTTTGATGAACCCGTGTCTGTACCTGGTTTTATGTGTTCGTGCAGTAAACATTATTATTATTAAATTATTATCACTATTATTATTATTATTATTAAATTCACTATACCGGCTCTGTTTAGGTTTTGGATACTATGAAATCGCTCGATTTGGCTTTGACGACACCCCACACTGGAAGGTCCATTTGCCGCATGAAAGTCCACCGGTTCGATAAAAGAGCTAGGCAGGTTAATATGACAATATATGATACCGATCTGCTTGGACACTGTACGTAAGTAAAGAAGCAAATATATGCATTCACACATAATTGCTTACACTTACTTGAAATTGCTGTCTTCTGGTGTCACCTTAAATTCAAAATATACCCAATAGCACCGGCAATGCTTTTCACGCAGTTCGGCAGAGCCTTGTAGAAATGGCTAGGTGTAACAATATAAAGTTTAGACAGATATGACGAGTTCAAAACAATTTTCGAGTACGTGAATTCGGTTATCCGCCCATGTGAGAGAACAGCACCGTTTCAACTTATTAACTTCCATATCAAGCGCTTATCCAGTAATGCTAAAGTTCTAAAGTTTCTTGAAATAAAAAAGCACGCTTTCTTTCACTGCTATGATAAGTTCTAAAATCTGGTGGAAACAGGTTATTCGAAAATATTTCTAAACCTGTCTCACCAGCACAGGTTACATTTTGTACTTTTTTAAGTTTTAAAATACCGGAACAAGACATATGAGAATGACGCAGCTGAGTACATATGACAAAGTAGAACAAACAAACAAATAGCAAGAAGTGTATATGAAAATGTCCTGGCTTTTAAATTTTGCTGATATACCTTTTTGAAAGAAAAACTAGTTCAAATTTACTTGACTTAGCACTGATATAGGTGGAAATTAAATGAAGTTATGATGAAGCCGCTGAACGATACTAGATATCAGCACTTTGTCACGAGACCGCATTCTGTAACTCATGGCAGGATATGCTGTATCTGGTCCGCTCTGTGGTTCGGTATTGACCTTTCATGAGCATTTATGGAAACTTCATGCAGATACACGCTTTGCTTTTTAACATTTAAGTTATTTTAGTAACGTATTTGCCACCCTGGTGAAATATTGAACACTTTTCACTGGATTTCGTGACTTTCGTACATGTTTTCTTAGAAGAGGCCTTACATTTTATTCAACAGCCCATCCAAATTTTCCATGGGAAGTCGGTATAATTTCTCCGGGCCTTGAGGGTAAATATGAATAAACCAGCAAAATTAGCCAAGATTTCTGGAGCACTGCGTGTCTCTTTGCGTTCGCTTTTACGGGAATAAAGTATATTAGAATTTGACACTGTATTAAACTTGTTAGAGCTCAGTGAATGGCGTACCCTACGAATGGCTTGATACATCACTTAGATTGTTTAATTGGGGTACTGAATTGTTATTCGCCCGCCGGAGGGGTTTCTTTGATAATGAACATTCCTTTTCCCTCATTCTTATTACAGTCCGCGGAATGCCACAGTTATTGTGAAGGCTTATGAAGATTGGAGAACCAAGGAACTTTCAGAATTAGAAATTCCACGAAAAATAGGTAATGCCCGCGATAAGAATTGTTGAATCACCTAATATTGTCAAAAGCTTTGCTCATACAGGTGTAAAAATTGACGCAGCTGCCACAAGCTCACCGTTAAGACATTTTCTAGATTTCTTTGGAAGTTTAATGGATTCAATAGAAAAAAAAATTCAATAGGGTTCGTGTATCCGGAAACAGACTTAGTAAAATATTGCCTTAAAAAACCTGTACCACAAAAAGTGTCTTATTGTCCTAGTACTTTGTTGCCCAATTCGACAGGTATATCTTGTCATTCTGGCTGTAACTCGATCTGTGCATTCTGCTCAGAGATAAAAATGAAATACGTTTACAAATCTCTGTAATGCGAAATTAGAGCGCAGCTCTTGAGCAAGATGAGGGGAGCGAACGGAAGGTAGAGTATGCCCCTCTTCCCCGTCCGTACACCCCCTTTTCCTCTTCTCTTCTCCTGCCCTCCCATTTAGCAGGTAATTTTCCGTCTAAATTTAGGAAGAAAATTTAGGAAAAGTTTCCCGCTAAATTTAGTGGGCCAAGTGTGCCCGCTAAATTTAGCGGGGAAACAGTGACGTCCCATAATGCAACGCGCGCGCTTACTCTGCCGCCGAGGGCGACGCTGATGGCGATGCCGTTCAACCCGGAAACGGCCGCCTAAGAGCTGCGCTCTAAAATGCACGTGCGTGTGCTTGTTCAAATTTACAGAAAACAACCTACTGAACTGAAGCACATATCTTGATCCTACAGTTGCGAATTGCCTGAGACAATCGCTCATATAGGTACACTAATTTTATTCTTCATGTTACCTCGGACGAATGTCCAAGGTAAGGTTGCACTAGTTTCTTCTCTAAGTCAATACATACGTGTTGGATATGGTGCCTACAGTATTGTTACATAACTTTCGCAAGTTACCGAGTATATCTGGCTTACCTTTTACGCGAACGTCTGCTGAATACAACATAATATAAGTATATAAATAATTATATTTTTAGGATGGAAGGCGCAATCAATAGACAAGAAAAAAGCCCGACTTCTTTTTACGGATTACAAGGAATGTTTAATTTTAATTACTGCGTACTTCTATGGAAAGGTGAAGTGTAAGTAACTAAACACAATTTATTTACTAAATGTCTAATACACATAACATTGCGATGAACTGGTTTTCGTTTTTCTCTTTAAAGGCAGAGTGTAAACAACCAAGAAAATCACAATAATGTTATATTCGTGCATCACCCTTACCAATTAAGTATTTATGGACCTATTTGCTACGTTAATGCGATGATGCCGAATTTAATGTTCACTTGTAGAGCCCTTTGTTGCTACTGTAGTCACCGAGAGGTGAAACCTTGACGGGCGTGGCTTATAATTGTTCACGTTCCTGCCTTGTCATTCGTTCCTGGACGTTCTTGTCGGCCAATGGCACGATATCATTGGCTAAGGAGTGATAATGAGATTCATAGACTAAAGATGGCCTGCGTTTTTTAATATGTCGGGGACTATAGGTTGTGAGAATATTTAAGATCAAAATTCGAATTGATTAGTGATTGCCCGAGTAATCTGATTTGATTTTTGAATTCCTAGTATTCGAGTTGTGGAGTAATTCGGCTCATCATATATCGCTGGACAAAAGTTGAAGTTCATTAGGGAACCCTATCTGTGTGGTAATCGAGTCCTCGCAGGTTCCAACTAAATATACTTCAAACATGAATATGAAAAACAAGCATTGACTGAATGAACATATCGATAAAAAGCAGATCCTTGTATTCTCGGAACGGGCAGTTGCTTATCGAGCTCGTGCAACACGCTTGAAGATAACCCGCAAACCAAACATGTCGTAATTTTGAATGACAGTGCTCTGAGTCACATTTTGCGAGCTATTTGAGCTACATACCAGTTGTGGCGAGCATAATTCGACAATCGATTAACAGCAACATGAATAACAACTAAGAAGCTTCCTCCACTAACCCGCCGCTTCCAACAGTGTCAAGCGAGATGGCATCGCTAGGTGACGGAGGACGTCGCACTGATTCAAGGAGTTCAATCGTATCTACATATCTATTTAACGCGCTGTCAACTTTGTGTGAATGGAAGTACACATTATTCTGATGCGGCTCAGGTTTCTCCTAAAAAGCGTTCATTAACGCCGTTTCTATTCGGGTTAACCGCTCTTCGTTCACCGTGCTCTTGGCAGATTAAGTACGGGCGCTTTTTGTCGATATAAGGTTTTTTTTTTTCGCTTTTGTTTGTTACAAATGTAGGATTCGGTATCTGATTTCTGATTTAACATTCTAGTTTTAAACAACCATTCGGCGCTTTTCGGTTGCTATTTGATTCTAGCTGAACATTCTCTATTCGCACAATCCATTAGGCTACGCGTTTCTTTGCTTGTAGTCGATTTACTTCAAGCAAACACAGGTTCCGTACACCAAAAACAAGTAAATACAAGATTTCTACTTTGCAATCAATAATCAAATTTTAACGTCGAGCATATGAAACGGCTGAATTTGCTATTAAAACTATCACCCTAGAGCGAAGTGGTGCTCACGTCTCGTTGACTTACAGGACAGTTCATAAAAGTAATGGCGATTCTGAACAACACTGCTCAGTCCTCCCTCTTCAATGACACTTCCGCCTCTTAGTGTGGACGAGACACTTGCTAACACGTCTGGGAGAGCCGACAGCTTCATCCTGCTGTTGCACGCTCCGCAGTGGCAGTGGCCGTAGAACAGGCTTATTTTAAATATGCACGTTTTTTTTTTTTAAATGAGACAGCTGGATTTAACCGTTGCCTACGCCTTTCTTTTTAAGTTATATAAGAAAGTCGTAATTTTTTTTTCATTTTAAACATTGTAATGTCATGCAGAAATGATTGCAATACAGCTCAATCCACGTACAGCTCAATCCACTTACAATTGAACGTTATAACCGATTATCCTTGTATCTGGACTGGACTGCGAAAACAAACGACGAGTCAATGGTTTTCCAAAGGCACCGTTTTTGTAACGATATTTCTTGACTGTCGTGTCGTCTCTTGGCACGCTCGAACACTTTCAACATATACAGATCCGTTCCCAAAAAAGGCGTGGAACGTCTTAAAGCAAATAGTCACTTGAACAACTGCGGCGTGGTACGTTGCCTTTTATTGTGAACGTGGCGTGTGCAAGAGAATCCAAAAAACACAAATCTCACAGAAATAAGTGAAGCCACCTCAAAAGACTGTAGCCGACATAGATCAAGAAACGCCTTAAACCTTTTTCCTTTATTTGATTGTCGTCTTATGTGCCACTTAATAATACCACCAATTAGCGACAGGTTCCAAATGCTCCCAAAGGCTAAATCTACCGCTGCTGCATTCCACAACAATCCCGATTGAACAGCGCTTCAAGCAAGAGATTAGCAACTGTGCAGATTATAGAACACAGTTATTAGGTTACTCGTATATCCTTTAAGCGTGACTCCAAAGAATACTCAGCATTATACTTGGCAAACACAGAGACCTTATGCTCAGACTGTTAGTCCCCTAATTCTCCCCCAGAAACTTTATGTAAAGGCTTTCGTACCCGTCTTTCGATTCCTCTCCTTGGCGGTAGCCATTTCTAGGACATTGGATCCGAGTCCTCTCGGAACGCTGACGCAGCACTCGTTTTTGATCGATGTTTTTTGTTCCTGCAGGGGTACCTCGGACTATAAAGAAATAATATTTGTTATGTTAGATAGATAGCAAGCAGGATCACACTGCGCTTTCGTCCGAGCGGGTGTCTACTTACAAAACATGCACAAAGTTTGGAAATAGACAAGTAGCCACCGGCGTTCGTCCACTTGTTTGCTCCTCAGTTTACCAATTTTCGCGGTCCTGCATTTGATTTTTTCACAAATTAAAGTTCCTAAGACGTACAAAATATGCGATTTCAGATTGCGAACTTTTCGTTGCAAGTAAAAATTCCAACAATATGTATAATACGCAATGCCACTCAATTTACCGGATCTACTGCGGGTATGGACGGCCCACACGAGGTACGTAGACGTCGCTTTCAAATAATAAAATAAACTACTTTCACATGCAACACACCTTTTAAAGCGGAAGCTTTGTAGGGCCAAGCAACCTCAAGAGCCGCGTAAGAGCGAAGTGTGTAACGTGCAGGGCTGTCAGTTTGTGATCGCTAATTCCTATAAAAAAAAAAGAAAAAAAGCCGACGCTAGGGAACGCATCCCGGTCACCGGCGTGGAAACCGAGTCCGCTGGTGACTGCGCTGTGAAACCAGAGCGCAGGAACGGGAAGTAGGTGATGCAAGAAAGCGCGCGGAGTGGAGAGGGGAAAAAAGGCACAAAGGAGAAGAGCAGGAGCAGGTGGTGCAAAAAGAGCTCGCGGAACGAGGAGGAGTGAAAAGGACAGGAAAGCGCGCTTCCCTTCTTTTGGTGAACCCGAAAATTTAGAGCAAAAACTTTGTATCCGGGCGGTGCTGATGGAACGCGGCGTTACAAAGAGACAATTTGGTGCGACATACAGGCACCACCTAAACTAAGATCCCCCTCCCCACCCCAAGAACTGGAAGACTAAGGACCAAACTGCCCTAGGCACGGCATACCCAATAAAGTTACCGTATTGAAACGCGTTTGGCAAAATGACCGAGTATGCTGCCGGTGTCGTGCTTCGAGTTGTTTTCTATACTCACTAGAAATATGAAAACACCATGGAGTGGTTTCAATTGGTACGCCTCCAACGTGAGCTTGTTACCTTCGGATATGCTTCGGTGTCTCGTGAGCCTTAAGTGTACATGTCCAGACAGAGCACGGAGGAAGTCAGAGAGTGCGTGCAGCAGACCGTGTGAAAGAAGTCGCCCTGCCGTTCTCACCTTGTCAGTGTTTATGGGGAGTTTTATTAGATCATTCTGATACCTCCTCATGTATCATATCGTTTTCGGCTATGGTTATGGAAGTACCGAAAGGATCAACAAAACGATATTATAAGAATCTAAATGATAGGTTAAAATATTTATATAAACATACTTACGATGTCACAGATTTTTTTCGCATTAGTATTAAGCAAAATATTATGTCTTTGGAGCAACAACAAAGAGCCTCATTAAGTAGCGATGTTCAAAGATAGAAACAAACTTTTTTCTTTTGAACTCGTTCGATTTTCAAGGAGTGACTTTTAGAGATTTTATTCTAAACAGCTGCTGGCATAATCTAACTGTGCCCTGGATAACTAACCGTGTAACGTGATAAAAGCAGTCGTTTTTTTTACTCCCTGGTTAGGCGAGAGAGAGACCCAACATTCGCAACGACGAATGTCGTTGCGAATGTTGGGTCTTGCTCTCGCCTAAATACACATTCGCAACGACGATTTTCGTTGCGAATGTGTAATTTGGACCGGAACAACAGTAGCGACTTTCCACATTTCACGACAGGTTCCAACTTTGAAGTGATGTTAAATACTCAGCACAGTACCGACGTGAATATGTCGTGATAAGTTATGAGGATCGCGAAGGAAATTCCGTCGGGCCCTACTGATAATATTTATCTAATTTTCCTAATACAGGACTGTTCGCATCCCTCATCGACGTTAATGCAACATTACAATCACCAAACCCCTCTAATTGAGGCAGCGCAGATGAGAAGCACTGAGTACTATCTTTGTAGACTGACCCAAAATGATCAGCAAATAACTCTTTCACGGACTTCGAATCGCTTTCACGATTACCTAGGAGAATGTCTGACTGGATATGCCTCCCAGAACTGATTTGATGTGCCTCCAAAAATTCTTTAAATTATTGACAAAATCTGATTCCATTGAGTAACGATGTGATTGGCGGTCACGATTTAGGACTATTTTACTATGAGTTTCTGCAATTCTTGAATTTTACCTTCCTCTTAGAGAGTCCACTTCCCTTGAACTTCCCGTGAAAGAAGCCCTATATCTTTTCAGTAGCGTATTTAGCTCTCTGGAAAACCAGCAAGGAAAGCGATATTTAGTAGCTGCCATCAAGGAAAAAAAAAAGGTGTCCATGGCTTCCCGAATAATTCGCGTGAAGAGCATGACCTGGTTTTTTACATCAGGGGATTCCAAGATCGATACTCGACCAAAGCTTAAGAAGTGATGATACATCCCGACACAGTCCCCTACCCGAAACATTATATGAGGTGTGCGGCGGGGAACCACCAGAATGTGTACGAACAGAGGAATTTTCAAGAGAAATAGGTACATCAAGTGCTGGATGATATGTATCCTGGGAACTAAAGGGAGTTCAGCCCGTGCTTCACGTACACTGTCCAAATTAGAGAAACATAAATCTAGACCATTAAATTGTTGATTCAGAACACCATTGTGTTGTGTGAGATTTGAGGAAGAAGAAATATTTTGAGAGCTGGGTGCCTTTCTGGCCTGCAGTAATAGTTGTCCGTAAAAACATCAAGTTCCTGCCAGTTCATTTTGCGTGCATTAAAGTTCCCTAAGATTAACATCTCGCATTCATAGAAGCCATTCACTGTATTTTCTGTGCTAACAAGACAACTTTGAAATTCATCTGGCGGTGCCTGGAGAAGGAGGTAAAATAAACCGATCAATTGCGTACTCTCTTTGTAGACTCAATATCGACCCATACACTCAGGGAATTTCTCCAAGCCTTCGCGTCTCCTTGAGCTGTAGTGGATGTCGACTGCGACCAGCACTCCGCCTCCCGTCCTGCCCCGCGGGGTACAACCTCGATCGCGGCGGTGCACCTCAAAACAAGGAAGGAAGTGATCGGAGGAGCCGATGCTAGAACATAACCATATTTCAGTTAACCAAATATAGAGTAATTCGACAAGGTAACAATAGAGAAAAAGCAATTAGCTTTTGTAGGCAGGCCACGATCGTTTTGATAGAATAAATAAATGTGACTCTTTGGGCGCGATTTTTCTTCTGACTCATCTTTGGTATCTCCAACGGCCGAGGGGGCGGCGGCGGCTGCTTCGGATGCGTAGAGCAGGTCTTTGCAAAGAGCGCCTATGAGAGCTTTAAAGAGGCAAAATTTGGGCCACATGGTAGGATCAGAAAGCTTGTCAAAGTCTACGGCAGCCACGGACACATGGAAGGAAGCGTAAGAGCCGTTGCGCGTCTTAAGTTTCCAGGTCTCCTCTTTCTGAACTGCGACGGAAGAGAGATTAGAACTGATGTCTGCGCAGCTGGTGTCCGGGTTCAGCTTGTTGACGAACAGGGGTCTTCGTCGGGTTGATGGAGGGGCAACATTCAGCTTGCAGGTTTCCGACGCCCCGGTAAGCGCTTTCGTTCGAGCTCTTGGTCGTGCAGAATACATGCCACTGGGAGGCACGTCGTCTTTCGGCAAAGCATTATTCTGGCAATTTGAAGGAAGAGGCGCTGCAAGAACCTTCGTAGGACAAGGTTGGGGGCAAGAGGTGTGTAGAGCGACAACATTAGTGCCTTTTCCCAAAAGCCCTCCCGTAACCCTATCCACAGGCTGCCGTCGGTGATTGGGCGCGTCCGACTGTTGTCGCTTACCGAGCGCGCAAAGCAGACCCCGGACCTCAGACCGCAGTATGGCCATGGCATCCGCCTGAAGCTAGGAGTCGCGCTTTTGCTTGTGACGGAGGCGTGCGTTTTCATCTCTGAGGGCTGTGACCTTTCCAGTCAGAAACGAAGTGTCCTCCATAGCTTCGAGCATCAGGCTCCGCAGGGACTCCACGCTGGCGCCAAGGTCAACGGGAATGAAGGCGGGTTTCTTATCGGGAAGTTGTCGAGCCGGAGAGAAGGCCACAAAGGTGCGGGGAAAGTCCGCAGCGTTGCTGGCGTGGTTGCGGACGACGGCATTGCTCCTAGGCCTTGCAGTACTGCCGGTGTTCGCACTACTCTCACTGAGAAAGGAGCTCACCCAAGACCAGGCACGTAGCCAGGGGGGGGGGGGCATGGTGTCCGGGCCCCCCCTGAAATCTTCCATTTTGCTGGGACCCTCCTCTCCCCCCTCCGCCTCATACAGCATTTTGTCCATGGGTAGCCCCCCCCCCCCCCCTTCCCCCCCCTCCCCAAATCAAAATCCTGGCTACGTGCCTGCCCCAGACTGAAGAAATGAGTTGACCTTGCCCGGCCAACATACGCACTTCGTGTGTGGACAAAATTTGCACGCGGAACATGGCAGGAACTTTGGTCTTCGGTAGAATACACGGAAGCAGACTGTGCATGAGTCTATGCTGGGCGACATCTCCGCGGGGAATAATGACAATAATAATAATATTACATATTATTATTAAAATAATATTACTTATAATAGCAGTGTTAGTACTAATAACTTAAAGAGATTGGTGTAACTATAAGAGAACACTTAATGTAAAAAGTAAATGTGTGTAATCACTCAACACACACTTTAGTAAAAAATGAGAGGCTCTATCAAGCGGCTCCGGTGCAGCGTCAGACTTGGCTACTGCGCAACGAAGGCGCACAGCTGGCAGGCGGCGGCGCCAGTGCGTCTGCCGCGGCTATGACATCACTCCTCTGGAATGCGCAGACCGGCGAGGCGCGCGCGGCGGCGGCTCCGGCGCGCAAGCTGTGCGCCGTGTGACGTCACTGCTCCTCGCGCATGCGCAGCATGGCTCTCCAGGAGCCACGCGAAACTGCTCAACCTCGGCCAGTATAGCTGACGCTACAAAAAAAAAAAGAGGTAAATTTAGAAAGTAGCGAATATTTTAATACACGGCGCAACACCGGCCGTTAGACAGACGTTGAGATCTGGAGTTTTGACACTGTTATGCAGTGACAGTATACAAGAAAGGGCCGAAATATTACATGGTGAACAAATATCAAAGTGATAAAATGCGTGGTAGAACAGAAATTGGCATAGAAATTATCTTTGAGGACTATCCGAGCCTCAGAAAATACCACAACTTGAAACTACATGTGGTAAAAGAACTAAGTTTGCGACCGGTGTAACTGACTTGGCTCAGGTTCTTCGCAAACCTATAAACTGCACGTTATCCTGAGATAATTTAGAGTGGAAAAATTAAACGCATTTCTGTTGTTTCTTTAACTAGATGTATGGCCGGACCCCGCCAAATCTTCAAGTGATTATTATTTCATAATGGAAGTGCATCAGCTTCGGTTGTTGATTGAACACACGGATCCTCTAAAAGAGGACACCGTTTTCATGAACGAATTTCAGATAATCCCGGAGGTAACCATATTTTTTTCTGAAACCATTTCAAGTGGATCAATTGATAGGCGGCGATTTCATTCCAAATCCTACTGGACAAAGGAGTGACCTCTGAAGTACGTTTGAAAAAGAAAATAATATATATGCTGAAGAAATGTTTCACTAGGACGAAAAAGAAAGCCGTGCTTGTGGTATTTTTTTATTTCTCGAGTTTTTTGCCTCCGGAGAACCACGGCAGGTTTTGAAATTTCGGCGATTGTCAAGTCTTTTTTTACGAGCTTTGCGATGGTTGCGCACCTTCCGTCCAACGAAGAAATCATTTACATGGTTTTTAGAACTACAGTAAAATTGCTCTATGTTCCTTAAATGGTTTGAAGGTAAATGTTCGGCAGCTCTTTGCCTGGTTAGGAACAGATATTAGACGTAAAATAGGGACTCTAACCAAAAGTTGAATAAAGGGTAACCCAACGTTTCGAGACCAGTTCGGTTCCTTCTTCATGGGTGAGTGACGGAAAGGACACACGTCGCTTAAATGCTAACACGAATATATGGGCTTTGCTGTGGTCACGCAGTCCCGAGACTTAGCTCTTCGTGTTCTCTGCCCAGCAGCTACGTCTTGGGACTGCGTGACGTCAGCGAAGCCCCATACTTCGGCGTGTTCATCTATGCGACGCGTGTTCTTTTTGTCACTCACCCGTGAACAAGGGACCGAACTGGTTCCGGAACGTCGGGTTACGGTTTGTTGAACATTTGGTTAGAGTTTCTATTTTTTGTCCAATTTCTAAAACGTCTTTTTCCCTAAAGCATCGAAAACCTAGTTTCTGATGATAATTTACCAAGTTTGGACGATATTTCGTGAATGTTAATTAGATAGCCCAAAATACACATGAAAATAAAGCTTAAGAATACACATTTAACGTTCTGTTTTCGAAAAAAAAGTCTGAATAAAAAAGGAAACCGTACCTATTTTATATTCCTTAATTTTTTAAAGTTGTTTTATTTACATTCTTTGGTTAAAATATATTTTTGTATGATGTTGTTTTTGAATTGTCTAAACATTTTATAAAATCAGATATAATATAAGACGACAATAGTACACCGACACAAACGCAGCTAAAGTCGTTTATTTTCTCTCTCCTTATATACCCCTGATGCTGATGTCACCGACCCTTTGAAGGGTACACTCTTCGTGGACACAACAACCGAATGACCACTTAACACCGAGACCTTGATACCGGCACAAGTACAGTTTAAAAGAAAACGTCATCTATCTAAATTATACGAAAAAAAATCTTTATGGTAATTTTAGGCAGGCACGTTATCACCGGAAAACCCAGATTGTTAGTTTTGTTTTCAAAAATAAATAAAAACAAAATGATATTTCTAGAAACATTTGACGCTTTTACTAAGTTAAAAAAAGCACGTAAACCTTATTCTGGCGCGGACGATATATTATCCGGGTTAAGGTGCCAAACGAGGCACCTGTGACGACCGCCCAAATCTCAAACCCGGCTTTAATCATTTAAAAGTCAGTTAAAAAAATATAGCGCAAAAACAAATTTTAGTTTTTGCCCTAATAAATATTTATTCCGCATATATATATATATATATATATATATATATATATATATATATATATATATATATATTTGGTATGCTTTTGAGATGTTACCTTTTCTCCTGCACAAGTTGGAATGAAATCGCCCAACTCAATTTATAATGCATCCAGGTTTGCACTTCATTTATTATCTTAAATTGTCCTTGGTGGTATTGTCACGGATAAAAAATAAAAAGGTAGACGCATGTGCGACCGAAAATAAACATTCAATAAGGCGAACTTTTATACCTTTACCTAAAACCAAAACTGCAGCGTGCATCCTGCGTTAGCGAAGGAAGGGGGCTGACCCGAAGTAGCGTCTCATCATTGCTGTACCGCGTTACGTGACAGTCCAGAATGGGCTGTGACTTTACAGGCGAGTGCAGAATTAGAAAATATAGATCTGGCGCCAAGGGGCGTTCGAACACCCTTCATCCGGGTGGCAGCTATGTGCGTTGTAAACTTCGCCACGCACGCGGCAGTGTAATGAAATCCAATAAATAAAATCAAAATATATTCCCAAGGTACAACCTACATCCGGTCACATCGGGGATATATTACGCAATACACAAATCTCAAATTGGTGTTAGGTGAACCTTTCTACTTCTTTTAAGAATAGTGAGTGTTTTGGGTTGCAAATTTAAATATTCCGAATCCAATCAATAGAGATTCAATAAAATTTTGAAGAGGACATTTACGTTTGTGGACGAATAGGTTATTCGATATTTCAGGTTTTGTACCAGATTCCAGAGGCAAACGTATACGCCTCAACATCCGTTAACAAAGTGAACAGACTATGTGGACTACAAACTTACAAGATAATGCCTAATATGGCAGAAGTGGAGCTCCAAATGATAAGCTCTGGGCAAAAGTAAGTATGAGTAGTTTGCTTTATAATTAGGTACCGCTTAAGACCTTTGAACCCTGTTAAATGATATTCTACTTTCCTGACGAGGCATGACAATATGCTATCAAGATTCACTTCATGAATATTTTGATAGAGGATAGTAAATACTCTTAAAAAATCCATCACAGTGCAAATAAAAACTAGAGCAAGACGCCGAGGAATTCACGGTCAAGACTCTGCGAGTACCATGGTTAGTTGCACTAGCCGGAACCGCACGATTAAGTTTTCCTTTAAATCAATAAATTTTCGTCATCTAAGTGGGCATGAAAAATCCGTATGATGGATTCTTTTATTTTTAAATATCAAGGTGTGACTTATGACAGCTTACTTCTGAAATAGAGCACGCCACTGAAGTAAAAGCAAAAACATTAATTTGACCCCCAGACATTTTGTTTTTAAATTCCTACGTGATTTAGAGCATAATACGAACGCGATAATTAAAAAGTGTGGGCTTGGATCCTTGCATGTTTAGGTGCCCTGCTAGTGCAAACATAATTAAACATCTGAAATTACTAGCGCACCTAGTAAGAATAATCACTCGATATTTTTGTTAACTTTGCTTAATTATTCAATTGGTTAAAATATAAAAATTGTTAGACTGCGCCAAGATTATCATTATAAAAATGTAAATAATTATATGCAATTTGGTCGAACTTTTGAGATTCTTGGAGCCTTCGCAATTCAATATTCGCATTTACCGTCAAAGATATTTATTTGATTAAATTTGGTATAAGTTTAGTGATTTAAATTTTATAGGACGTTCTCAAAAGAAAGGTTACCTAGATCGATTTATTTATTTCACTTAAGATAAATGTAAGTAAAGCAGCTCACGCAGTTTACTGATCCCTTGTCCTGCACATAGATAAGCAGTTGTAACGTGAAAGCCGGAACTCAACGCCATAATAATGCATTTTCTCTAGTATGAAACTATAAAGTCAGTATACCATAATTTGTAGACGAGTTTACTCATACTGTTTGACTGCATGTTCGCAGTGAGGCATACACCCTTCTGGGATGGTATTTTTGATGAAGGGCACAACGGACAAGGGAAAGGTCCGCGACAACCAAATAAAAGAAGCACCTTTGACCAATTAATCAGTTAAAAATTTAGACTGCAGTGAGTGCATTAGTTGATTAATCGGTAGCTTATAGAATTCATATCATCCCCTATTTTAAAGGTTTCCATATCAAAATAAAGCTACAATTTCTTTATGGTACCTGTAGAAAGGTATTTCACTGATATGACAAGCCTCCAGCACGTGCTTAATTAATGCTTGTTGGTGTCGGTGGTTACTCTTCGTCGCTCTAGTGAGACCAGAGCATTACAGCGTTGATTATGGTAATAATATTGAATAAATATTGGCATGAATGAGAGGCAGAAAGACGGTTAGTGCAGTTGAAAACTGAACGTTTAATAAGGGTGAACCTGCGTGTCGCAGGCGTCGAAGGTCGACGGGTTAGCACGATCGAGCGCAAGAGCGAGACTGACTCCGGACTGCCACGCGGAGCAACTTATGTATCCGCGTGGGTGTCTGGAACATTCCGCGGAGAAGGTTCGGTGCGTGGAAAATTTGTAACTCGATCAGGTGACAGCGTTCTCGAACCTACGAGAGCGTCAAGTTCAGAAATAAATAAAAGAGGAGTCGGCTCCCTGTAACCAAACCTGGAGCCTCCGTGCGATAGCCAAGCACGGTAACCATTCGGCCACGCACGCGCTTGGTCGGTGACGCGCGTGGCAACACGAACTATTTACGCATGAACTTTATATTTTACTCAGATGCCTGTAATTTTAGCACAGTACTAATTGACTGACAACAAAACTGCGCTTACATAAAATTATGCCTCTCACATTGAGGAACGTCATGTCGAACTACAATTTATTGAAACACAAAAGTAACTTTTAAGAACACATTTCACTGCCTCAATTTTGTTTCATTGTCACATTCACTATATATGTATTGTGTTTGTTTTTCTCTTCTAGGAAAACCACAGAGGGAGTACGCCACTTTCGTTCTGACACGAATGCAATTTCTCCAACACAAATCACACTTTGGGATTACCACGGTAGCCTTCTTTGCATAATTTGTCGTGTAGATGCTCTGAAGTGTACTACTCTGTTTTGTATTAAACTTACTGTCATTGTTAGACTGCAGTAAAGTCTCACAGACAATACAAGCATTTTACGACCAAATCCCGCGCGCCTAATTTACAGCGCAGCCTTACAACGCCCAATCACTGCTCTTTAGGGAAATAAATCTGCGCATGGCGAGTCACCGATAACAATTAAAGCTGCGAGCAGGTCGGCTTTTAGAGCTAGAATACTATCAGTGCCTCGTAATTAAATTCTTTATACATCTAAGTACTATCTGTCGCACTCAACAGTAACTTTAACTGACAGAAAGCGAGAAACACCTTTTCTTTGGTCATTAGCATTACAGCAACGCTAAACATTTTAGAGCGCAGCTCTTAGGGGCCCGTTCCCGGCTTGAGCGGCGTCGGCGTCGCCGTCGGCGTCGCCGTCGCCGTCGCCGTCGGCGTAACCGCGCGGTGCATTATGGGTAAATTTCCCCGCTAAATCTAGCGGAAAAATTTCCCCGCTAGATTTAGCGAAAAAATTTCTCCGCTAAATCTAGCGTAAAAATTTTCCCCGCTAGATTTAGCGGAAAAAATTCCCCGCTAAATCTAGCAGAAAAATTTTCCCGCTAAATGTAGCGGAAAAATCTCCCCGCTAAATCTAGCGGAAAAATTTCTCCGCTAAATCTAGCAGAAAATATTCCCCGCTAAATCTTGCGGAAAAATTTCTCCGCTAAATTTAGCGGAAAAATTTCTCCGCTAAATCTAGCGGGAAAAATGCCCCGCTAAATCTAGCGGAAAAATTAACCCACTAAATCTAGCGGAAAAATTCCCCGCTGTCTAGCGGAAAAATTTCCCCGTTAAGCCTAGCGGAAAAATTTCTCCGCTAAATCTAGCGGAAAAAATTCCCCGCTAAATCTAGCGGAAAAATTTTTCTGGGGGTCGCGTGACCCCCCAAGGTCAGATGACCCCCCACCCCCGCCCGAGAACAAGTAACCCTCAGTACCCTTCCCTCCTCCTCCTCAAGAGCTGCGCTCCAATTCGGTGTTACAGGGAGTTGTAAACGGCTTTCATTTTTTAGAGCGCAGCTCTTAGGCGCCCGTTTCCGGCTTGAGCGGCGTCGGCGTCGCCGTCGCCGTCGGCGTAACCGCGCGGTGCATTATGGGTAAATTTCCCCGCTAAATCTAGCGGAAAAATTTCCTCGCTAAATCTAGCGGAAAAATTTCCCCGCTAAATCTAGCGGAAAAATTTCCCCGCTAAATCTAGCGGAAAAATTTTCCCGCTAAATCTAGCGGGATAATTTCCCCGCTAAATCTAGCGGAAAAATTTCCCCGCTAAATCTAGCGGAATAATTTCCCCGCTAAATCTAGCGGAAAAATTTCCCCGCTAAATCCAGCGGAAAAATTTCCCCGCTAAATCTAGCGGAAACATTTCCCCGCTAAATCTAGCAAAAAAATTTCCCCGCTAAGTCTAGTGAAAAAATTTCCCCGCTAAATCTAGCGGAAAAATTTCCCCGCTAAATCTAGCGGAAAAATTTCTCTTCAGGTCAGGTGACCCCCGTGGTCACGTGACACCCCCAGGGTCACGTGACCCCTCCAAGGTCACGTGACCACCCCTCCCCCCGATAACACGTGAACCTCAGTACCCTTCCCCCCTCCTCCTCAAGAGCTGCACTCTAATTCGGCGTTACAGGGAGTTGTAAACGGCTTTCATTTTTTTTATGACAGCCTCCTTGCTTGCCACAAAGCATCATAAACGGCCCATTGTCGCAACAGAGTTTTCACTAACACTGTCAAAAAGGGCTTACACTGCGCTTATAGTGAGGTGAGACCTGAGAGAGCAGCTAACGCCACGAGCCGTATATTTTGTCGAGTAGACGACAAACAGTTCCCTCAAACCGCTAATAGGATTTTAAGTGTTTTCAGTAAACTTAATGTGGCATTCCAACGCTCCGCTTATGGTAGGTGGGGATAAGATTTACCATAACCCACCTAGTAAACAAAAAGTTATATGAATGAGTGAAATAAGCCGATGATAACATATAATGCCATTATTATTGAACTTATATACGTGAGTCTTATGTAGGAGGATTACTTGACCAGTTTGTCGGCTCACCGCAGCTCGGTATAGCACATAGAGTGAAGGTTAGATATGTTTCGACCCGTGCCGGTTTCAATCTGAATGAGCATCGTACCAGCGTGCGGTCGTGTATCACTATTTTGTTATGCTCGTTAAAGACCATAGGCGAACGTACTACATTCACTAAATTTCTCACCTACAGCCGAGAGAAAAGACGTCAGTTGAGGCAGACTAACTTCCGACGGTCTAAACATTCATGCAACATAATTATTAATGTCTAAGTTATATAAGTTCTGATATTTTTACAACGCTCAACAAATCATGTATGCATTTTTTATTTCTTTTCATTAGGTCTGTGGCGGGTGTTACTGTCCAATTTCAAGAACTGCTACGTATTGAAGAACGTTGAGAGCAGCAAAAAGGGTGTTCCTTGTACGTAATCTAATTACATAATCTTGGTACGATTAGACGGGCCAAGTCTCCAGGAATCGGTAAATTATGTATAACGTGTCTAATGTTGCAGTATCATGAGCCGATACCGCAAGGTTATGCGAAGAATTACACGTTCCCTTTCAACCACATATGTGTGAGCTGACTCACACATATACGGTTGAGTGTGATCGAGTGCGGCGTACTTAATTGTAAGCTCTTACAACGAGGAAACAGACTAGCGTCATTTATTGGGTAGCCTCAGTAACGTTGGAAATCTGTATACACGCTGTTGGGCCCTAATTCGAACATATTCCTTTTTCAAAGAGGGGTGAAGGCTAGACAAGTGCCGTCTTCAACATGCATTTATCAGACTCGGCGACCATTCGATGAGGGGGTAATCGGCATGGTAAGTTAGCTTATTAGCTAAAATCCGGTAATTAAATTTTCAATTATTAGTGTTATGAGTTCACGATGACGTTGCACTATTCACGTTAATTGCTTTTAGAGGTCAGACCAATATTAAAAGCTGAAGAAGGTATTAGTTTTCCTAGAAATTAGTTTAAATATTTTCACGATGTTTTAAAAAGAATGATTTCAAAATGGCGGGCACAAAGAGCGTCGCAAACCTTTCCCACATAAATAGACAAGTAATTTTAGCCACGCCATCACTTGTGTCGTAGGCCCTTCGAGGACACGCTGCCGAGATGGTGACGACATCACTGAATCGACTACGTAACTCTTGCAAGCGTCATTGTTGGCACCGCTTGCGGCCATCTTTGTCTAGCAGTTTTTTTAAGTCTGGATAAAAACGGGACAATTGACAATTTAAAAAAATAACTACAAAATTTTTGCAATATTTTTTAAAAATTGATGTGGCCTTTAATATAAATTACCGGTCATTCCGCATTTGTAACATCACCTCTAAACCAAACAATTTTAAAATTATTCATGACAATTATCCCCTCACCTAATGTTCACCGAGCCTGATACGTACATGATGAAGACGGCACTCGACTAACTCTTACCTCCCACAAAAACAAAACAACAAAAAAAATGGTTTGAATTAAAGACAATTGCCCTCTATAAATAAATGAACAGATTGTTTTTATGAATTTGCAAAATATACTCTATGTATCGAAACCCTAGTGTGATAAAAAAATATGATTTGTCCAATAAACATATCAAACCTTGGATAAATTATATCTGGCTCATATACGACCTATTTTAGTTTCTATTTTATCCTACAAGTCCTCATGTGCGTATTAGACACTTTCATAGAACCTAGTTTCACTGGGAAAAATAGACGCTTATAACATTTTCAGAATTACTTCGTTATATTGAAGGAATAATGCGAAAAAAAGATATAAGTGTCTATGCACAGATGAAGAGTGCTTCACGACTAATTGACGGGTGGCGCCACTGTGCCAGCGCTCGATCAAACTTAGTATGAATCAGCCTTAATCCTTCACTCATTATTCAGTCGCATACATTGACACCAACTAACGTAACCTATAAAACTACTGCATAGGACATGGAACTGTGATAAGATATAGGTTTGAGTACTTTAAGTGAATACGATGGGGGAGGGAGCCATGGAGTTGCAGGAGAGCGGGATCTCTAGCTACACGCCCGTGTCATCTGGCGGCGAGAGGAACATGCGCGAGCCGTGCTCTGGCCGGTTGCGAGATTAGCAGCTATCAACATCCGGCTATCTGGCGTTTGCTATGTTTGATCTAAAATAGGTGAGCACTATAAACTTAGTGCAGCTCGAGACCGCACGTTTTCGTGGGTTCGTTGGCCATTTCCGCCAATGGGCGCAACCTTTAGATTGAGCTATGTAGTAGCCCCTATGTACGATGGTGGCAGCCTCGGTATCATCTTTATTTATATTTATATCAATGTAATGGGGTACCGTCATAACAAAGAAGTTAGTATACAAAATGAGGAAGCTGGGCATTTCGAAAACATCCTTCCAATTTCAGAGAGTCACATGAGAGTGTAATGTTTAAATTTATTCTTTTTTCTGACTTTTCAGTTTGTGAGTTCTTTGTTAAGAACAAAACAGACTCCACCACTGACTTAGAGGAATGCTGGTTTGTATTCCTCGCATACTGTGGGTACCCAAAGGCTTTTTACAAGGACACAAGCTGTTACTCTGGAATTATTGCGTAAGATCTAAACACCGGAAAACCTCAACCTGAAGACACCACTCTCGTATTTAATTCGTATTGATTTTTCTGATTTTGGCACAAATCTTGGCTAAAACTAGGTTTCGTTGTGGTTTTTAGTCTTGTAACGTTAATCCGCAACGTTCTGAAAATCAAGAAGCTTATATGTAAAAAATAAACTCATCGTATGCAACGATGCTTAAAGTCTCTGTATTATCTCTGCCATGTGGCGTGTGCGGTTTAATAAACAGATAAACATAATAAACATGGCTGGAGGACACATCACTCTGTGGACGCATATAGATCGCATCTTCATACGCGGGCCATACGAAATATCTGCTATCCATATATATACCAAGATTAGCGTACCAATAATGCAGCTTGAAATTACCCCGGAAAATGAAATCAAGCTTGAATGCATCCTGGAAATAATCCGGAGAGGGAGTTTCCGACAAGAAGCTGGACTTTGCCAAATCCGGCTGGAATGCAACTCGGAGTAAGTGCGGACCGAGAAGTTTCCGGCTAGCCCAGAGTGGATTTTGAGAAATCGTCTAAAGGCCAAGTCAGATAACGTCCGGACAAACAGTCTTTGGCTTTCCCACCCCGGAGTTTGAGGAATCCGCCTTAAAGGCAATTCGGGTAAAGTCCGGGCAAACAGTCTCCGATTTGCCCAGCCCGGATTCTTAGATATTCGCTTAGAAGTAAACTTGGAGAGTATGGATAGACTCTGATTGCACAGATCATCATTTTTTTAATCCGGCTAAAAGGCAAATATGAAGCAGTCCTAACAAATCTTAAAGGTGCACTAGAGACGTTTCTGAGATCGTGTGATCTTGTGATAACTCATTCTACGGGGTCCTAGCATCTCAGAAATCGAAATATTATGCTCGTACGACAGCTATTTTCCCTCTAAAGTTGTGATCGACGTTCGTGCCATGCCCCTTTCTGAGCGGAAAAATCTGGAGCACAAAATTCAGCGGACGCGCCGGCGGCGTGACGACGGGCGCGAGTCAGCCAATCGCAAGCGGAGGCGCCTGCAGCGGAGACGCCTCCGCTGGATTCTGGACTCCATATTTTTCTGCTCAGGAAGGGGCGTAACGCAAACGGCGTGGCACAAGCATAATTCTTGAATTTCTAGGATGCTTGGAGCTCTTAGGATAAATTCTCACCAAGAACGGACGATCTCACAAGCGTCTTTAGCGCAGCTTTAAGTTCTAGAACTGTTTCTGCCAAATGCAACAAGTAGCGTTAATAATCAAGGCGCGAGACGCATTTGAGGTGTGGCAACACTGGTTCACGCTGTAGATGAGCAATACGACCGCAGGGCAGTGCGATGCTCATCCAGTTCAGCACAGCACGTTTAGTTGTGTGCACTAAATTCATTCATCGGGAAGATGCAAATAAAATCCCAATGGATAATAATGATGCCACATTCCTTCTTCAATCACGGAGGATATTTATTATAAAACCTGCAAAATATCTTCCACATATATAGCTTTTTACATTACTGGATACGTGCAGCAACACATTTATTGGTAAATTTAGAAGGCACAATTATTGTAATCGCATTTTATCAATAAAAATCTTCATGAAAGCATTAAAACGAACGCATCACTTAAATATGGTCATGCAGCGGTAAAAATTATTTTAAGAACACTTCCGCTGACATGCGCACTACACATCCATTACTATCTTAAAAAAAAAACAAAACAAAACAAAAAACACATTTCCACAGAAAAAAAAGTTTTCTTTTTTTTTTTTTTTTTTGCAATATTTAGGTTGTTAGACACAACTTAGGTGCTGGCTCTCGGTCCCGCCCGGAGCTTACGAAACCAAGAAGTTTTCTCGGCTCTCATTGGTTGGACAGATGAGTGAATTGTGAAATATTGGTTATAATACTGTATCGCCGTGCCGAAATAGTATTTTAACCGGCAATATCTTTTTGTTTGAGAAACATAATCTAAATAGAATCAGTATTGTTTTTAAAATATCTCGAGATTTCCTGTCCTCTTTGGTTTCAGACAATAGCAAGCATGGCTGCCGGCCGTCAGGGTAGTGATCTAGAACAGCTGGTCGTGCTCGTCTATTTCTGTGAGTGCGAGTCGTTCTGCGTTCACCCGAGGTGTTTAGACGAAGATTTCCTCAACCGAGCTTGGCTGCAGCAAACGACTGTCGCAAGTACGCGCCTTCGAAAGCGATGTTGGCGCTGTGCGGGTGCTTGGGTTCATAGTGGTACTGGCCTAGGCCTAGCGTCCCACTTAAACTATGTTGGTTGACCTGGCTTGATTTGCTCCTTTGCGCGTGTTGATGCTGAATAAAGATATTGGTTCCCGTAAAAGCGGCCCCGCTTCTCTGTAAATTGTGCGACTGTTGTGATTGCAACGATGGTTTCAATACCGAGAAAACAAACACCCTTGTTTTATTTCTGACTGACTCTTTGCCCCTTTCTTAATTAACGGACATAAAATCCGTTTATGTTAGGTTGAATAAAATAGTATATATTTGTGTGCCCATGAGCACTATAATAGAGTATAAAAGCGTTAAAGGTGCTTTTGTCGTTTAATCCTGCCAAAAGCACTTCCTTTTCGTAAAAACACCAATGACTGCATTAAGAATCCTACAGTACCTCGTAAAGGAACAAAAAAATGAGGTGGAAAGAAACAAAACAGAAATTAAGTACACGTTTATAATTCACAGTGAAGCACATAGGCGCTGCTCTACCTTACTGGGGTGAAGATGGCGACTTGTTTGTCTACAGAAGTCTTTGATCTTGTGATGATTGGTAGGGGGGGGGGGTTCTGTGAGGGTGCACCTAAAGGGATTGTCAGATCGGTGAAGACCACACCAAGAAAGAATGCTGCCGCTCTATGGTAGGAAACGGTTAAAAGGCATTGGAAAACTTCTTGCAAAAAACTCAAATCAGCGCTATTTCGTGACCTTGCAGTCCCCCAACATTGTCTAGCATGCATAATAAGACAACCCACTGGAGGGCCACACTTGATATTAACTCTGGCCCTCATATGAAGGACCAGCATTCTAGCCAATGACAGAGCAGTGAGTGATCCGGAGTGAAGAAGAGTATGCACTTGGGCTAGTTGGTGATCCATGTTTGTGAGGGTAAAAGCGCTAAAAACAACGGACGAGTAAAAGAAACGAACAACACAGAGTGCTCTGTGTTGTTCGTTTCTTTTACTTGTCCGTTGTTTTTAGCGCTTTTATCCTCACAAACAAGACCCGGAGTGAGTTTGACTGCCGAACAACGTTAAGTTTCCCTTTGCTGAACATTTTCAACTTTTCTTACAAGATTAACCTCAAAGGAGTCGGATTTGGAGCTGCAACACTCTAGGTGTGGCAGGAACAGGGTTGTGAAAGGCACCTAAGGGCGTTATGGCCTGTTCCACTGGACACGTAAAGTACAAAACGCAGCGTTCCGCACGCTTTTGACAAAACTGCGTGAAGAAGTGTAGCTGGTTGTGTATAGTAGAGCTTGCCAATGTTGTACTACAAGCCCTCGTGGTTTCTGCGGTCACCTGATAAGCGGCATCAGTGTCAGGTGATCCGTAACATAACTGAAGTCAACTGCAGAGAGGCATTATCACGATTAATAAACGTGTTGAGAACAGCTCGACTGAGCGCACTATTCCGTCGAACTGTCCAGCACTTGGGCTACTGAAAATAATTTCATGGTATGTACTGCACTCTGAGCGACTCAACTTAAAGACTTCAAGTATGCTCACATTTAAATTATTCTAGTGTTAATGAGCCCCAGTGACTCTCTAGGCAAGTCCTAGGACTCAACTTTCATGGAAGCCGGGCAGCACGCACAGCATCGCAGCACCTTGCTATGCTTGTGGGAAGTTCCAGCTCTAGGTTAAGGTGTCGCCAAAAAGGTAATCGGAAAGGTACCATGACCAGAACACCTCTACAGTTCTGAGCATGATCTTTTCTGTAAGCAGTGTGCTCCACTGTATCAATCGACAAGGTTAGCGCCACAGACCGAATCCTGCACCTACGTTTTACATACCGCTCGCGGCTCTGACATCGCACATCAGCTGTCGCGGTGTTTCAGCTTACGGGTTGCGAAAGTGTTTACAAATATATTCGCAAAATGCAGTTAAATGTGGTAATTTGGACACATTTCGTGCTATTTTGTATCAAGTAGTTTTGTGGTAAACAATTTGTGAATTTCAAGTCATGATTCTGAGTCTTGGCATGTTTCGCAGCTTCTCTGCATAAACTTATTTATTGCAAATTTTAATTGAGTTTACCTGTTGTAAACCTTACATAAAATAAGTAGAACAAATTACTACTGCGTGCATGGTTCGGTGGGAAATTGATGGCTGTGCAAAATCCATGGTGGGACTTTGGCAATCTACACGCCTCACGCTTCGAATTTTTTTATATCCACGAAAAAGAATTAACTGCGGCGTTCATATAGAGCTGAATACTCCTCCAAAACATGTATTTAACCTTTATGTTTACTTATACATATAACAAATATGACCCGGACAAGGCTAAAACAACAATGTAACACATAGAAACATTTCGCGCAGAGCCCTCATACACTTTATTTTTACGTCCTTCGAATTTTGAAACGCACCCGTTATTTATAATCCGGCCATCTGGCGCAACAGAAAACGTCGTTTATCTTTTTGAAAAGTAACTGTCCACGAAATATCTACTTCTAAGAAGGGTATGTTATAGCGTGAAATCCTTGTACTCGAGAGGCCATATTGAAGGGTATATATGTATTTTCCAGTACTCCAGAAGAACTACGTCTGCTGCGTTTATCGGAGTCATTTTAGAAGTGTTGTTATTGCACAAAAATTTGATTGTTGAAATGTGTTTTTGACAGGTATTGTGATTTTTCAGTTTATAGCACACTAGCCGTATTCCAGAGACATAGATTACAACCAAAGGTCGTGTTCAAATATGCGCAATGTCCAAAGGGTTCCTTCGAAAACCCTTAAAATGTTTACGTGGTGAAAATGTCCGCACTTTCGC